TAGTAGCATCATCATGGCTCACCTGCACCTGAACTTAGGCTCAGGTGACTCCTCCCACTCAGCCTCCACGTAGCTGGGCTACAGCCACCGAGACACCATGTTAGGGCGCCCTAATTTTGTTTTTTTTTTTTTTGAAGACGGAGTCTTGCTCTGTTGCCCAGGCTGGAGTGGCAGTGGTGTGATTTGCTTACTCGCAACCTCTGCCATCCCAGGTTCAAGCAATCCTCGCTGCCATCAGCCTCCTAAGTCAGCTGCAAACTACAGGCACACATTGCCATGCCAGGCTCATTTTTTTGTATTTTTAGCAACGATGGGGTCGTTCACCTTGCCTGTCCAGGACTGGTCTTGAACTCCTGAGCTCAGGCAATCAGCCCGCTTAGCCTCTCAAAGTGCTGGATAACAGGCATGAGCCACCATGCTGGGCCGCCAGGCTAATTTTGATAGAGAAGGGTCTCCCTATGTTGCTCAGGCTGGTCTCAAACTCCCAGGCTCAAGTGATCTGCCTATCTTGACCTCCCAAAGTGCTAGAATTACAGTCCTGAGCCACTGTGCCTGACCTCTCTTTCTATAAGGAAAGAAAACAAAATCTTTTGAGATATTCCAGGAATCCATCTGGAAAATCCTACTTAGATTGAGGTTAAAAAACAGATTTAGTTTAGAATTTGGTTTTAGGAAGTCTGGCAAAAATATCAAATGTTTTAAACACTTGATTAAATATATCACAAGTCACTGTGAAGACATAAAAAGTAACAACTAAAAGGTTTCAAAGGTAAATAAAGTTTAATAACTGTTAAACAAAACCAAACAACCAAAACTTTAGCTATTTTATTGGGAAGATTCAATTTTCTTAAGTAATTAAAGACCAAAAAAAGGCAACATGAAGCACAAAGAATTATTTTGAGAAACACAAAATCTTCATTTTGTAGGCCGATTAGTTACAACGGAAAGGAAAAGTTTTCACAATGACATTTAAAAACTGGAGCAATACTCTTAAAAAAGAAAACTGTCGTTTTTCACAGAGAAGGCCAAATTCTAGTTTTGCATCGGTTTACTTTTGATATTAAGACTCTTTTTTATTTATTTATTTATTTTGAGATGGAATTTCGCTCTGATGCCAGGCTGAAGTGCAGTGGTGTGATCTGTGTTCACTGCAACCTCTGCCTCCTGGGTTCAAGTGATTCTCCTGCCTCAGTCTCCGTAGTAGCTGGGACTACAGGTGCGCACCACCACGCCCAGCTAAGTTTTGTATTTTTAGTAGAGACGGGGTTTCACCATGGTCTTGATCTCTTGACCTCGTGATCCGCCTGCCTTGGCCTCCCAAAGTGCTGGGATTACAGGTGTGAGCCACTGCGCTTGGTCAAGACTCATTTTTAAAACCTTATAATACATTCAGTTCTAGCCAACTTGTCCTTACAAGAGTCATTCATTTTGTGTGTGTGTCGTCTCTCTTCCTTTTTGTATCCATTTAGATTTTATCTTTCATTCATTCTGAAACAACCTTTAACCTCCAAACTAGACAAAATTATTCTTCCTTTTCCTTAAAAAAAAAGTACATCCTTATACCTTATAGCTTTCCTTACCAAAAACATGTCTTATTTTCTTTGCATTATCTCCCTTATTATTTTTAGTCTTTTTAACTACTATATATTAGTCAAAATTGTTAACTCTTAGTAACTTCAATTTCTAGTGAAAACTAGGAAATAAGAGATTGTGAACTGTTATGGGGCATTCCATAAATTGGTAAATCTATAAATATACCATTTTATAATTTCTATAGAAGCATATTCTTTCTCATGGGACATTTAAAAGTGTTTTTAACAGATGTAAATATATTTAGTTCCTTTATAATATAAACCAAAAGTAGATTAACTTATGTTAAGCAATTAATGTTTCAGCATTTATGTTATTTGGAAATGATCTAAATATTTAGTGAATGTCCATTATCTAATTTAATTTAGCAAAACTCTACAGGCATAAGTTAACAACAAGAAGCTATTGAGAAAGAAAAGTAGCTCAGAGCAGTCTGAACTATGTGAGGTATGCAAAATTTATCATCATCTGTCTGGATAGATATGTCCCAACAATACAGTGTGGTTCCAGGAGATGAAGACATCAAATACCATGGCCTCCAATGTGGAACGCCATCAAATAAAAAACTCCCTCCAAACACCTCGGAAGCGACCATATCTGTGTTGTTAACCAATAATTGTGGAGCTAAGCTCAAATACATTGACTTATGGATTCATAATTTTTATTTTAAAAAGGCAGCTCTGCCTGAGTGGACAGCCTCAACACTGGAGATCTCCTATACCTTGATCTTTAGATCAGCACAAGAAGTAGACAACATATTTATTTGATTGCCGTTGGAAATAAAAACATTTTTCAGATGTGGGTTTTGTTAGTAATTGTCTTTATTTGCATCATGTCTTTTATTCTCAAATTGATTATGCTTTGCATTTCTAGATGTCTAAAATCAACAAAAAACTAAAATAATGATAGCTAGATGCTTAGAAATGATCCAACATACCATGGCTCCTTTGTAAGCAGATGACCTGAAATACCATTGCCCTGTCCCTTTGCGTTGCCAATCAACTTGGCCTCGAGACTTCACTGCATTCTTAAGCCATTTTATCTCTCCTCTCTTCCTCCAATGTGGGATGAGACTAGCTGAAACCAAGTTTTCCCAGTGACATGGGACAAACTTACATCTAAAATGTTGATCAATACTTTCAGAAAGAAAAAAAAAACTCAACCAAAAGGAAGAGAAAGAAATGTAGCTCAGAACAGTCTTAACTATATAAAGTATGCAAAATTTATCAGGCCCAGAGAGACATGAGTATGAGATTTTTGTCACGCCCTGCCCCAAATCCATGCCCATTCCCAGGGGATGTGACCCTCACCCATTAAGTTCATGCTCCTGGAATTTATGATTTTAAAAAATGTATAGCCAATCAATAGTTTACATGCAACTAAAGAACTGCCCCTTCTTTTTTTTTTTTTTTTAAAAAACAACAACAACAACAAAAAAACAAAACACTTGTAACTGCTGCTAATTGGAGTTTATATTCATGGAAACTTGAAGATGTGTCTCCCACGTTGCAGCTCTCAAACTTGGCCCAAATAAACTATTTATATTAATTTTGCCTCCATTTCTTTTGTTAAGAAGTTGACACTGTTTTTAAGTATCCATATTAAAAAATAATTACTATTGAAAAGTTCACTTATAATTTCTATTCTATTTACATTAATCCAATTGTTCTTCATTGTAATTGAGTTATTTGTGAAATGTCATTAGACATTAGACAAAGGTAGTCAACATCTCAAGTTATTAATATTTTCCTATTAACTATTTTTAAGCATATGTATGTTAGCCAAACATCACAAAAGCAAGAACCTAAAAAAACGTTAAGGCCGGGCTCAGTGGCTCATGCCTGTAATCCCAGCACTTTGGGAGGCCAAGGCAAGTGGATCACGAGGTCAGGAGTTCGAGACCAGGCTGACCAACATGGTGAAACCTCGTCTCTACTAAAACTACAAAAATTAGCCAGGCGTGGTGGCGCATGCCTGTAATCCCAGCTACTCAGGAGGCTGAGGCAGGAGAATCGCTTGAACCTGGGAGGTGGAGGCTGCAGTGAGCTGACATTGTGCCACTGCATTCCAGCCTGGGCAAACAGAGTGAGACTCCATCTCAAAAAAAAAAAAAAGTTAAATACTTGGTTTTTTTTCTTTTTTTTTTTTTGCTTTACTGCTATACTTAATATATACTTGCTTTACTGCTGTACTTAATAAAGTAGTAGCTACTACATTTTCACTTTTGCTGTTAGATTAAACTGATAGTTTTATAATCTTAAACATCTAGTTACGATAACAAACTTATTTGCCTAGTAACCCCTGGTAGAAAAAACTGTATGTATGTATGTATTATATTTAATGTTGACAGCTCTGAAGACATGCCTGCTTTAGTTAATCCAACAAACTTTAATTTTTATTTACTGAAGATTTTCCTATATCATATTGTTAAAGAGAACTAAAGATAGCCTGAGAAGGACTCTGTACTTCTATATTTGAGTCCTTGCAGATGAACTGTAACCTAACTTAACAGGTAGACAAGATTGAAAACCTAACTTAGGAGTACGTGCCTATAAGAATAGCTGAGTCTTGGCCAGTTCTAATAGCCATACTTCAACCACTTAGACACTTCTGAGTGTCTAAGGCAAACACCAACCTGCAACCAGTCTAGCTGTTTCTGTACTTCACTTCTAATTTCTGTATGTCACCTCCCTTTTTTTGTCTATAAATTTCTTCTGACCATGAGGCATCTCTGGAGTCTGCATGAATCAGCTGTTACTCTGAGGGCTGCCGGATTCGTGAATCATTCATTGCTCAATTAAACTCTTTTAAGTTTAACTTGGCTGAAGTTTTTTCTTTTAACAATATCAACTTGAAGAACATTTGGGCTAGGTCTTATTTGTCTGAAAGTTTAAAAAATACTTAATTTGTATAAGTGCTTTTTCTTTAAGGCAATTAAATACAGCTCTTTACCAGTTAATTTTAGGATAGTCTCTAGAGGTAGAAAGATATTACACATACATGCATACACAGACATGCATAAAATATAGACAGAAGCAGATTTCCCAGTTTTCATTTGAAAACTGTAGCCATGTGCCAGGTACAATAATACAAAAACAGTTTATAAAAGAATTTCTGAATCCAAATTGTGTTTCTGGCAGATGGAACAAGTTAAGATTATCTACAAGATGGCTAAAGCTTTTCACTGTTTCTGGGAGAAAAAACAAGATTTTTATATTTGCTCAATTTCCAAATAGCTCTTTTTCTTCTTATTCTTCTGGTGAGTAATCTCCCTGGCATTTGCATGCCAAAGAGATAACCCTCAGGTCCCAGAGGAGACAGGGTGGAAAATGTAGATCTTAATGGCAGAGAGCCAGAAAAAGCACCTTAAACAAAGGGAGGGTTTGTTACTTAAACTCCTTCTCTATTGGTTAAGACTGTTTGGTGATTTAGTCCTTCTTTTCTTCCTGATGCAGAGAGAGAGAGAGACGAGCTTATAAATATAGACTTCCTTTGTAGACATAAATTTCTCTTACAAAGAGTCTCAAAGTAACTCTCTCAAAATAATCTTTATGCCAGATAGCATATTTTGGCAACTAATTCAGTTACATCTGTGTCTTCCCAACCCAGCTTAAAAAAAAAAGCTAGATTACTGAGTTCAGGATGGTGCCCATGAGTAAATAGGGCAAAGCATGTTCTATACCTAGATTCAGCATGGATAGCGTCAGCAAATTTCTGAGAGTTTTCCTTTGGGATAAGAAAGCCTTTCACTATTGTCTCTGAGCTTAGATTTGACTAAGGCATACAGGTGGCTAAAGAAAGCCCAGCTGGTTTATTCTGAGGGACTAATTTCAAAAGGCATTTTTTTTTGTAACTTTTTGTCTTCAAAGTGGAAAAATAACTGAGTGAAAAAGTTAGTAGATTCAGAGTAATTAGGCAGAGGAGTGTAGAAAGAAGGATACTGTAAGGACTCAACAGGTTCTTCTTGCCTGCTGCCCAGATAGAGCTGATTTATCATTTATCAAGGCAGCAAGGGAATTGCAATAGAGAAAGAGTTTTACACATGTAGAGTTGGCTAAATGGGAGACGTGTTTTATTATTGCTCAGATCAGCTTCCCTGGAAATTTGAAAGCTAGGGTTTTTCATGGATGGTTTGGGGAGGAATGGGGCTGGTTAGGCAATAAGTGCTTGCTGCTAATTGGTTGGGGATGCAATCATAACGGTGTGGGAAATAGTCCTTACGCATGCTGAGTCGCCTCTGGATGGGGCCACAGGAGTGGTTGGTGGGTCCAGGTGGAGCCATCAGTAGTCAGACACAGAAAACCTGAAAAGACATCTCAAAAGGCCAATCTTAGATTCTAAAATACTGATGTTATCTGCAGGAGTAATTGAAGCAGTTGTGTATTTTGTGACCTCCAGAATAGTGGCTGGAAATTGTTTATATCTACACCTTAGCAGAATTCAGGTTCCTCTATCCTCCTAGCCTGCTGGCCTCTCATCAGCTTTGCTGAGGTGATGGAATGTTAGGGAAGGACTATTATCATTTAAACTACAGACCAAGTGTCTCCCAAAGTTAGTTTGGCCTAAGCCCAGGAATAATTATGGGCAGCTTGAAGGCTAAAGGCAAGATGGAGTTTGGCTTGATCAGATCACCCCTACTGCCATAATTTTCTCACTGTTATAATTTTTGCAAAGGTGGTTTCAATTGAGGGAAAAAGCAGTTGGAGTTAAGTCAGTCAACGTACATTTTTAGTTCCATTATCATTTTGCTTTTTGTAAAAAGTCTTATTAGAATTAAAAAAAAATAGAGTCTCATTCTGTTGCCAGGCTGGAGAGCAGTGGCATAATCATGGTTCACTGCAGCCTTAACCTTCTGGACTTAAGCTATCCTCCTGTTAGCAGCAGCAAATCTGTATGGGTGTGCAGCAGCTGGATTTTTGCCTCCTTGAAGGAAATAATTCTTCCAAGGGGCATAAGGTAGAGTGAAAGACTGAGGCAAGTTTCTGAGCAGGAGTGAAAGTTTAAAAAGTTTCAGAGCAGGAATGCAAGGAAGTAAAGTACACTTAGAAGACGGCCAAGTGGGCAACTTGAGAAATCCAAGTGCCCTATTTGACCTTAGACTTGGGGTTTTATATATTGGCATGCTTCTGGGGTTTTACATCTCTCCTCTTTTGAGTTTTCCTTGGGGAAGGCTGTCCACACGTGCATGAGTCATGTGTTTCTAGAGGAAGTCCGTATACCAGTTAAACTCCACCATTTTGCCTCTTAGTGCACATGTTTGAGCCTGCTTGCCCAACTCCTGAGATCTTACTAGGAAGCAGCTGATCACTAGCTTCAGGAGTTTTCTATCTATTGGGAGATTTTCTTTCCCTGTTGCCAGTTGCAACCTATTATTATTTTAGAGAGAGAGTTTAACAACCACCTGACGATCATCTGATGGTCACCTGACATTCCTAGTTGGAGGGGGTCTCTCCTCCCTTGCTCATGTCTGCCTGATTACCTACTCTAACATTTCCCCCCACAAGAATTCACGACCCAATTCTTTGGGAAAATGGATGATGATCAGTCTTCTGTAACTGCTTCCTGCCAACAGAGGTGTGGTAGTGATTGTTCCGTGAGTCTTGGCCTCTTCCTAGCTGTCAGGGCAGGGTGGCTGCATGGGTTGGTGAAAGTAGTACCCAGTCAGGTCTAAGGGAGATGGGCAGGATTTCACCTCTGCCATGTCCCACTGATGGGAAGTCTAGGGGTCCTCGGTAGAAGGGTGACTCTTGAATATTAAGAGGATGGTATCCCTCACTGAGGATCATCTGGAACTTGATCATCTAAAGGTGAGAGAAAGGAGACAAATTGGGTTATTAGATTTTTGAAGACATGGACTGAAAGGAGCAAAAGGAGAGGCTAACATGTGGGCCTAAAAAGGGAAGAACCCAGGGAAGATCCCATTTCCAGGGTCCTTACCAATCTAACCATGAGAGGGTTGTTCTTGTAAGCTGGAGGCTCGATTTAGGAGTTGTCTGATGTTGTTTTGTACTTTTACTGATCGATTTACCCAAAAGCAACATTTTTCATCTAAGGCTAAACAAATTTCTCCCTGTGCTGCCATTAACATATCTAGACAAATTTGGAGGACTACAGCTGCTAAAGAGTTAATTTGTTTTGGCATGGTTAAGGTTTTAGCTATCACATTAAAATTGCTGGCTATTTCCTTTGAGAGTTGCCTATAGGTCAAGGAGGCTTTTGAGATTCTGGCAATTTAGGTTCCTGTACCAGCTATAATGTTGAGGCCCATAAGAAGGGGAATTAATTGGATAGCGCTTTTCACTTGGACAAGATAGAATTCCCATGGATTGGTACTGGAAGAGAGAGATTGCCAGGGAGTATAAAGATGGCCAGGGGTGCATAATCTATGGTACAAGTTCCAGTCCATTTAGTGAGGAGGCATTGGTAAATTGGCCACAAACACAGAAGGCTCCTTGGGTTTTAAGACAAGTATAGATGTCGAAACAAAATAAGAGATGAGGACAGCCCCCAAAAACACCAAGGATGACAACACACTCAGGTAGCCAGTAGCTACAGTCATGCCTGCTAATACTTGGGTGCATAGGGTTTGATTCTGATTAGCTGCCTTGGTTTCATTTTCCCAAAAAAAGAGAATTTTGAGTTTAGTCCAATAGAACCCATTCTGCTGTGGAGGTGAGGTTGGCAATTTGCAGACATTGGTTTCAATCAGCAGGCTGGAACTAGAAATTTCAAGTACTGCATGAGCTTGGGCATTTCTGGCAAAACTGAATGAACTTATTTAGCAAAGTCCCCTGAAGAAAGATAATATTTGAAGGTTTGGGGAATCTTGGTTGATGGTGGAATTGGTTTTGGGTGTATGTTTGATTAGTCTGTTGGTTAGAATCTACAGAGCGAGTAACATTACAGGCTATATTGGGAAATAACCTACATCCACTCCATTTTTTTTCTTTTGGCCATAAGACAAAATAGGGGTTATTCCCATTAAAGTGATATTAGAAAAGACTGATCCAAAAATGGGAAGTTCCTTGTGGATGTCAAGGAAATACTGCTTTGCTTTTGCAAAAAATGTTATTTGCAGACCCAAATAGCTCTTTCAGATTAGGGTCCTGTTGAGAGGAAATACATAATTCTATGTCTATGTTTGTCCAATCTCTGGTACAGGCTGGATAAGCTCTCCCTGGTGTTTTAGAAGAAGAGCTAGTACATAACCAGCATTTGGTGGAGTGAGGGGATCCTGTGTTTTGGAGCAATTGCTGAGCTTTTTCTAATAATGGGAAATCAGGATGGCAGTGTGCTGCCAGTAAAGCGATGAGTATGAGAACCAAAAGGGGCAGAGCCACGGTGACCTAAGGTGATTGTGAAAGAGATAAATTGATCATAAAGCAAGCTGCCACTGGAAATCCTGGTGGTGTACAAGTTGGGGTTAAAATAGTGATAATAATTGGAGTAATTATTAAGAAAATTCTGAATAGTAGGATCACCTTACTTTGATGTGAAAGGATGTTGAGGGGGAATTACTTATGTTTTCACTAAAAGAGGAATTTCAGATCTTCCAGTGCCTCACAAGTGTATTCTGGAGCTGAGGGTGTTGGTTCCGGCTCTGGTGTTCCATGGCCTTTCCATGACTTCACGCAGGTATAATGTATCCAGCTGGCTATCTCTGGAACTTTAATGGCTGTGGGAATAGATACTGGAGCAGTGAAGTGGCCCCTCCAGACTGGAGTTAGTTGGGAATTCGGGGTTTCAACCTTCCAAGTTTTAATGAGAACTAGTGAACCTGGAAGATACAGAGGCTGGGATTTTTCCCCTTCCGATGCTGGGTTTGTTTTTAATCCATATTCCCAGAGAGTCTGTTGGAAGCCTGCTAAAGAAGAAACATACTGGGTGATTTTGGCAGTTTCTTCATCTAGTATCAGATAAGTCCGAATATAGAAATGGCCTACCATATAAGATCTCAAAGGCGCTTAATTGCTAGGGAGCCTTAGGGGCAATACAGATTTGAAGGAGGGTTAAAGGTAAGAGGTCTACCCATGATTGCTATTTCCTGACAGAGATTATTGAGGATGCATTTCAGGGTTTGGTTAATTCTTTCTACTTTTCCTGAAGATTGCAGTTCTCAGGCAAAGTGAGGGTACTACTTTATGCCTAGGACATTACTAACCTGTTGAGTTACTTGAGGAAAAAAAGATGAATTATTGTCACTCTGCAATGACCTGGGGAGTTCAAAGCAGGGAATGAGTTCCTTTAGGAGCAAGTTAGCTATCTTCTGTGCCTTTTCAGTCCTTGTGGGGCCGGAGTCTTCCCACAAGGGGAAGGTACCTACACAGACCAAGAGGTACTTATACCTGTGGCATGTGGGTAGCTGAGTGAAGTCCATCTACCAGTCCTCCCCAGGCTTGTATCTCTCCTTTGGATTTGACTTATTAATGGAGAGGGCTTCCCCATCTGGGGATTATTTATGGTGCACAAGGTGCAGGCTTGACAAACCTATTGAATAGTTTTGTTTAGTCCCTTCCCACTGAACGCCCATTTACAAATTTGCCCTAGACTGTCCTTTTCAAGGTGGCATGAGTCATGTAAACACTTGATGAATTTCCACTGGGAGGCATTAGGTAGATGGAGAAGTTCTCCCAACATGTACCCTCCATTGGTTTCTTCTTTATACCCATGCTGGATGGCCCAATCTATTTCTTCCTTAGTGTATTGGAGAAGGGACAGTTTACTTGGGAGAGAGGGCAGTAAGGTCCCCACGGAGGTATCTTTTGAGATGGCTGCCTCTTTAGCTTTTTGGTCAGCTAACATATTTCCCCAAGCAGTTTCATCAGAACCCCTCTGGTGTTCGCTACAGTGCACTATTGCCACTTCCTGAGGCAAATGAACAGCCTCTAGTAGCTCTAAGATTGGAGGTCTGTACGTAATAGGAGTATTCCAAGCTGTTAGGTATCCCCTTCCCTTCCGGATAGCTATGTGGGTGTGAAGCACCAGGAAGGCATATTTAGAATCTGTATACATGGTTATTCTTTTTCTTTCCCCAAGTTTTAGGGCTCTGGTCAATGTGATGAGTCGGCTAGTTTCACTGAGGTCCCCAGGTATAGAGCTACCGCCTCTGTAACTGGGTGAAGGGACACTATAGCATACTGTGCATATCTATCTCTATTCTTGACAAAGCCAACCCCATCTGAAAACCATATTTCATCTAGATAACCTAGGGGCTGATATTTTAAGTCTTCCAGGCTGGCATAAATTTGGTTAAGTATCTCACAACATGAATGTGTTCAGTTATCCTCTCCTAGTAGTGGCAGTAAGGACGCTGGGTTAAGAGTGGAACACTACTCAACTGTTACCTGTGGGCTTTCTGACAACAAGATTTGGTAGTTTAGCAGTTTGTTATCAGTGATCCATTGTGGTCTTTCTATATCCAATAAGGGACCTATTTGGTGGGATGTCAGGAGCCTGACTGTTGCACTGTAATTTTGAGGGCCTCCTTGAGTAAAAGGGCTGCTGTAGTCACTACATTTAGGCAGTGCAGCCACCCTTGCACTACTGGGTCTAGGTTCTTTAAAAAGTAACTTATAGGACATTTGATGGCCTGATGGTTTGAGTTAGAACTTCCAGGGCTACAACTTACCTTTCAGTGACAAAAAGTTGAAATGGTTTGGTTAGTATGGGTAGCCCAAGGGCTGGGGCTTGTGAGAAGGCAGTTTAGAACTAAAACTGACAGTTTTTAGTTCAGTTTTTACTTGCTTCTGATCTTTTTCCCAGAGAAGTGGGTCCCAATCAGTCCCTTCTTTTAGAACCTGATATAAGGACTTAATAATTTCACCATATGCCAGTATTGAAAGTCTGGAATATCTTGTGACCCCAGAAAGGTATAATACCTTTCCTGGTACTCTTGAGCCCCACGTCTCTGGATTAATGGAAAAGTCTGTGGAAAGTTCATCCTTGTGTGTGACTTCCTTGAGGCATAAGATTGCTTTTGGTAAAGGTTAACTGAGCCCGAATCTTAATAAAATATCTCTATTCAAAAGCAGTGTAGGACATTCTGCTATCATTAAAAATGCATGAGAAAAGACAGTCTCCCCTCACAGGCAGCAAAGATGAGGAGTGACCCTTTGGGTTATGGGCACCCAATTTACCCCCATCACCTTGGAGGATAATTTCCCATGAAGAGATATGCACCAAGCAGGCCATTTCCCAAATAAAACTTATAGTCCTACCTGCCACATCCAAAGCAGCCCTTAGCTCCATCCCTTCAATAGTAATATTCAATCCAGGAGCTGGCTGGAGTGGAGGATCCCTTCAGCTTAAGGCCGTTAGGAATTGGGATTCTGTCCTAGGGGCCCTTCAGCCCTCAGGGTAGTCCCATTTCCAATGGTTGAGTTTGTGACAGAAGGAGCAAGCCATGTAGGGATTTTTCCCACCTGTCCCACTGTGGCAGTTTGTCTTCCAGTGTCTTGGCTTCCCACACTGATGGCAGTTAACTGGGAGGGTATTCTGAGGGCAACTTGGAGAGGGCTGGTGGATTTTCAGGGCAGACAATAGTTGGAACTGCTGCTTTTCCTTTCACCTCTTCTTTCCCTGAGCACTTTCCTCTTCAGTCCTGGTTGTAAAAGACAGAGGAAGCTATTTTGAAGATGTGAGGCATAAGGGTGTTGGGGTCCAGTGCTAGTTTTTGGAGTTTCCTCCAAATATGTGGGCCTGCCTGAGTTAAAAAATGATCCTTTAGGACCAGTTGCCCTTCTGGTGTCTCTAGGTCTAGGTTAGTGTGTTTCACCAGGGCCTCTTGTAGCCTCTCTAGGAAAGTGGTGGGGTTTCCAAGAGGTCCTTGATTTATTAAGACCAATTTTATTATAATTTACAGGCTTGGCTCTGCTAGCTTTCATTCCTTCTAACAGACATAGGAACATGCAATTCCTTGCTCATATACCCCTCTGGGTATTGTAATCCAAACTGGGGCTGACCCAAGGAACTGTAGTGACCCATACAGGGTAGCCCCCAAGGGAGTCATGTGCATTGCATTTGCAAATTGTTGGGGAGCCTCCATAATGGAGTCATGTTCTCCCTTAGACAGGGTTTGTCCTAGTATGACTGAGAGATCCCTCCAAGTGAGTTCAAATGTTAAGCCCACTTTATGGAACCCTTTGATGCATTTGTCAGGATCTCCATAAGCTTCCGTAGTTCTGTTTTAATTTGACTCAGGTCTTGCATATTAAATAGAGTCTGAACTCTAGTAGGTCAACTAACTTCTTGAAGGGAGCATAACTCAAGGGGGTGGTGTCCAGAGGATGGCCCTGGGTATGAAAGGGAAGGCTCCAAAGCCAGGAGACTTGGATATAATGGGGTCAAAGGGTAGGGTTTGAGCTAAGCTCCACTCTTGGTTCCTCCAGGGCTTGAGCCCTGGGTAAACCCAACGAGGGGTCTCCCGAACCAACCAGATGGGGCAGCCTGACTATGGCTGCTATCATCACTGGATCAATTTTACAAGCCCAACAAAGGTCTGGGTTTTTTCTTAGGGCCTGTACATAGGGGATTTCTGTCTATTTTCCCTGCTAGTGGCAAAACAAATCTAGTTGATAGAGCATATTAAAATTTATGCTTCCACTTTCTGGTCAAGATTTCTGCTCCTGGAGCTTGTATTAAAACCAGGCTGTGATATAGAAAAATATTAGCCTTTTCCTTTTCAGGGTTTGGGGGTCAAAGTTTCAGTTCTCGAGGATGCATCCAAAGGGTTTGTACTGTAGTATGGAGATGTGATTACCCATCTGTGAAGACAGAACAAAGGAGAAAAAAAGGAAAAAGAAGGTATCTCCTTTTATTTCCCTATTATCCTTTCCTGAACAGGGCATCCCCCATTCATCATTAGGGTTCCAGAATGAACATGTCTTACTGGGTACCCAAATCTCTGTCCCATCTCATCACAATTACCCACTTGAGAACAGAGGAAATACCCAAGTGAAAAGGGGTCCCCTATTTATCCTTGGAGTTTCAGAATGAACCGGTTTTACCGGGTACCCCTAAGCTTGCCTTCATCTCTGTTCTAATGGTAGTCTGTTCTGTGCCTGTAGCCTGGGACCAGCCTTTATCTCTCTCTGTCCTATGGGTACTTTGTCTCTTGCACCTGCAACCTTGGGCCGGCCTATATCCTTATCTCCATGATCTTACAGTGACTCTTACTCAGAGCATTCTAGCAACAAAATGATTATCTCTTTTTTTTTTTTTATGATCCATTTCCCATGTTCTTTAAGTAGATGAGAAGCTTGTTTTTCAGCCAACTGCTGCAAGGGGCTGGACTTCCCTCCCTTTAAATATGACCTTGAGAGTCCTTATGTACATTGAGGAGGGTATGGAAGTGATTAGAGGAATGGAGAAAATTTTGTTTTTGAGGTTCCCTGTCCTCCCGGGGTAACATCCAGAACAGATGCTTGAGTAGACAGGACAATCCCTCTGCTACAGGAGAAAGTGGGAGGAAGCGTGAGGAATACTGATGGAAAGCCTTCATATGCTCAAATAAACAGCAGCCTTGGGATTCAAAATACCAATGTTTATTTGCCCTCTTGACATAAAGAGGAATCTTTGGAGAACTTGGAGCTTGGGATAAGAGCTCACAAATGGCAAAGGAAGAATTTTCTCTCCTCCCAAAGGGGTGCTAACTCAAAAAAAGCAAGTAGGAGAGAGATCCTTAAAGAACCATAAAACGATGTTCTATGCAGCCATTAAAAACTGCTTCAAAAGCCACCAAAAACTTGACCCTGGAGCATAACAAGGATGAAAAGTGTATGGTAAGTCATAAGGAGCTGACAGAACTGGGGTTCTGATTCGTGTCTATCCTGGCAACAAGCCAACAGACATCTGCAAGGGAGCCTGTTTCTCTGCTGCTGTACAAATGCAACAAGAGCCATGGGTGCACGAATAACAGGGAGTGTGTGTTTAAGGTAGAGAAGGAACTTGCATGGCATACAAAACGAAAGAAGAGAAAAGGCACACTTGCCCCTGAGGCAGACAGAGTGGTGGGTACACAAGGCCATTTCAGAATACACATAGAGAAAACAGGAGAATAGGTGGTGTGGGTTTTAGGGAAAAAGCCAATTATATTTGAAAAAGCAGAGGAAATTGCAGACATTGCACAATCTTAGGCTTTAGCCCTACCACTCTCGTGAGCCTCCTGTCTAGGAGGGCCATTAGTATTTCAGGTCTACATGGTGTGGACTCCAAGGTCCTTCCCCCTCCTGCCGTAAGCCACCTGTCAGGATAAGCTGAGAGATCAGCCAGGGGGTGCAGAGCCACTGTGGCTGAGAATAGTTGTTCTGGGGATTGGTTAGTAAGCAGGAGAGTGAAAGGGGAGAAGAAAACTGCGTACAGGTCTCCTTCTTCTCCAGCCAAAGAAGGAGAGGCATAGAGATTTCTTATCACTGGGGAACGTATCCAAGCCATGTGGCATCAAACTATGTTAGCAGCAATGAATCTGTATCGGTCTGCACCAACTTGATTCTTGCCTCTTCAAAGGAAAGAATTTGTCTGGGGGGCATAAGTCAGTGTGAGAGACCAAGGCAAGTTTTTGAGCAGAAGTGAGAGTGTATTAAAAAGTCTTAGAGCAGGAATGAAAGAAAGTAAAGTAACTTGGAAGAGGGCCAAGTGGGTAACCTGAGAAATCCAAGTGCCCTGTTTGACCTTTGACTTGGGGTTTTATATGTTGGCATTCTTCTGGAGTTTTGTGTCTCTCCTCTCTTGATTTTTTCTTGGGGTGGGCTGTCCACATGCACAGTGGCCTGCCAGCACTTGTGAGAGGCCACATGCACAGTGTATTTACTGAAGTTGTGTGCATGCTCACTTGAGGTGTTTTTTCTCAAGTGTTCATAGAGGAAGGTCATACACCAGTTAAACTATGCCATTTTGCCTCTTAGTGCATGCTTGAGCCTGCTTGCCCAGCTCCTTATTGGGAAGCTGTTGGCCACCACCTTCAAGTGTTTTCTATATATTGGGAGACTGCCCTTCTCTGGCACTGGCTACAACCAATTATTATTTTAAAGAGACTGCTTAACAACTACCTGACCATCACCTAATGGTTGCCTGACATTACTGGTGGGGGATGGGCTTTTCTTCTGATGTTCATGTCTGCCTAACTACCTACTCTAACACTCCCACTTCAGCCTCCTGAGTAGTTGGGACTGCAGGCTTGTGCCACCATGCCTAGCTAATTGTTATTATTATTTTTGTTTTTAATAGAGATGAGGTTTCCCTATGTTGTCCAGGTTGGTCTCAAACTCCTCAGCTCAAGCAATCTGCCCTCTTCAGCCTCATAAAGTGCTAGGATTACCACTGCTTCTGGCCAGAAGTCTTTAAGAGAGGCAAATTTTGATTCATTGAGTCTTTTGGAAGGCTCTGCATGATAATCAAAATCTACATTCCACTGTTCTTGAGGAATTCTGAATTTCTTCTTTTCCAGTCCACTTCATAAGTGATCAGTATTGTCTAGGTTAAAACTTCCTTACAATGACCACTGTAATTCTACATTATCTTTGAACTTCAAATTAACAAACCAATGATGTACCTCGAGGAGCTAGAAAAGAGAACAAAACAAAACCAAATTTAGTAGAAAGAAAGAAATAATAAAGATCAGAGCAGAAGTAAATGGAATTGAGACTAAAAAATACAAAATATGAACAAAAAGGTTTTTTTGAAAAAATAAATTAACAAACCTTTAGCTAAACTAAGAAGAAAAAAGACCCATGTAAATAAAATCAGAAACAAAAAAAGAAAGTTAACAAATGAGACCACAGAAATACAAAGAATCATTAAAAACAATTATGGACAACTTTTTCCAAAAGAAACAACACGTTTCTTTTGGAAAATCAAAAAGAAATCGATAAATTCCTGAACACATACAACTTGTTAAGATTGAATCATAAAGAAAAAAATAACTTGAACAAACAAGTAATGAGATCAAAGCGGTAATAAAAAGTCTCCCATCAAAGAAAAGTCTAGGACCTGATTGCATCAATGCTAAGTTCTGTCAGACTTTTAAAGAAAAAACTCAAACTCTTCAAAAAAAATGGGGGAAGTGGTAATACTTCCAAACTCTTTCTCCAAGGTCAGCATTACCCTGATAGCAAAACTGGACAAAGACACAAGAAAAAAAGAAAGCATTAGGCCAATATTTCTGATGAACATAGTTGTAAAAATCCTCAACAAAATGCTAGCAAACCAAATTCAACAATACATTAAAAAGATCTCACGCCTGTAATCCCAACACTATGGGAGGCCGAGGCGGGCGGATCACGAGGTCAGGATATCAAGACCATCCTGGCTAACACAGTGAAACCCCATCTCTCCTAAAAATACAAAAAATTAGCCAGGCAAGGTGGCGGGTGCCTGTAATCCCAGCTACTTGGGAGGCTGACGCAGCAGAATGGCGTGAACCTGGGAGGTGGAGCTTGCAATGAGCCGAGATTGTGCCACTGCACTCCAGCCTGGGTGACAGAACAAGATTCCATCTCAAAAACAAAAACAAAAAATCATTTAGCATGATGAAGTGGGATTTATCCAAGGGATAAATATTTCCAGAGTAATAACAATCTCTGGCTTCCAAGGCATGTTTACTACTTAATAATTATTTAATCAAGTTTGACAATATTCTTTGCTCAGAAAGCCTGATCACGCAGAAGGATGAAAATATCCATAGAGAATTGTTTCCCAATAGCCCCTTTCAAGTGGGTTATTGGAAGGTAAGTGGATAATAGATTTACATAATTGTACTTTTTTGTTGGTAAAATTTGGGAAAATAAAAATTTTACATTCTTTCCTTAAAGAAAGTCCTCCAAACTAAGTAAGTTTCAGGTCACATAAAACCTGAATTTGCCCATGCTCACAACTGTGCCTGCAATTGTTTATTGAGGAAGAAAAACATGTTAAAAAAGCATCACGCAGTGGTCAAGGAAAATCTCTTTTCTTTGCTCTAATAGAATTACGGCGCTCTCTCCTGCTTATCTTACAGTCTTTGCAGGTGGGCATTGTTTATTTATACTCCCACGCTCTCTCTTGTCATGGGCTAATTTTTTCTTGATCCTCTTTGCTATGTTCTGAATATACTCCCTCCTTTCTAAAATCCACCAGCCACTCCCATTCTGTAATTCAACTCATTTCTCTATGATTTTCGCTCTTGAACTTAGTCTCCTTATCTGTAAATTTACTCTAGTCTAATTCATTAACCCATTTCCTGTTTGCCCCAAGAATATTCTTGTTCTCTTGTCTCTAATTCTAATGTAATATTATATACATTTCTGTTACATTAGGATTAGAGACAAGTTCTGTTTAGAAATAACTCCATGAACAGTTTTTATGTTTTATTTTCACATTGAAAAATCAGTCAGATTTGCTTCAGCCTCAAAGAGTGTGTTTATGTAAAATTCAATGAGTGCTGGCAGCAAGCCACACTTTTTTTTTTTCTAAACAGGAAATAGGTTAACATACACGTGGACGAACATTCTCTGGCTTATTTCCTGTAAGCCTGCTTCTCTGATTAACTTGTACTCTTTGACTACCACCTCTTTATTACCCTACCTTGACCTCTAATCTATGATTCTACCACGTTGTCAGTGTATTTCATCCACTTTATGTCATCACTCCACTCCTTACCCAGCTAAAATGCTTATGGTCACACAGTCAATTTTCAAAGGATAGTAATCAGTCCTTTGTATACATCCTTGAACCTCACACTGTTTTATGCATGGCAAAACCAAAACCCTGGTGAACTCCAATTCTCTTGCTAGTCCACATCTGAACCCAGGGATCCAAATGTGGTTTACAAATGTCTTCTCTTAACCTCACTTCCACCTGCAAATTACCATATGTTTTTCTCTCCTTTTACAGAAAAAGAGGAAATGCAACAGCCTCAAAGCAGAAGTCTAAATTTTTATGAATGAAGTTAAATGATTTTTCAGAGTGTCTTCAAAATAATCTGGTAAGGTAGGGACAGAGGGAGTGGGGAAATAAATGAACAACATTGGCTATCAGTTAAAAACAACTGAATGTGGGTGATGGGTTTCATTTTTTGTTAATTCTTACTTTTATATGCTTGAAATCTTCCATGACAAAAATTTCAAGTGTCTATAATTGCTGTCTCCAATTTCCTCTCTTTCAAGCTACAAACCTACTCTGATCAAGCTTTTACTTTCAACACTGCTGAAACTATTGTTCATCCTAGTCACAATAATCTTTATATTGCTAAATTCAACGATCAATTCTTAGTTCTCACTTTTTCCTATTAATAGCGTTTGATGGACCATCAAACTCTGCTTTCCTGTGTCACACCTTGGTGATCACTTCGTGTTTCCCTTTCTTCAAGTGGATTCTAGTACAGGCATAATTGTATTAGTCTGTTCTCACGCTGCTAATAAAGACACACCCAAGACTGGGTAATTTATAAAGGGAAGAGGTTAATTGACTCACAGTTCACAGGGCTGAAGAGGCCTCACAATCATGGCAGAAGGCAAGGAGGAGCAAAGACACATCTTACCTGGCAGCAGGCAAAGAGGGCATACGCAGGGGAACACCCCTTTATAAAACCATCAGATCTCGTGAGATTTATTCACTATCACGAGAACAGCACGAGAAAGACCCACCTCCATGATTCAGTTGCCTGCCACCAGGTCCCTTCCACGACATGTGGGGATTACTGGAGCTAAAATTCAAGATGAGATTTGGGTGAAGACACAGCCAAACCATATCAATCACTATTTCTTTTTTTTTTTTTTTTTAATTTTAATAGTTTTTAGGGGTACAGATGGCTTTTGGTTAAATGGGTAAGTTCTTTAGTGCTAATTTCTGAAATTTTAGTGTGCCTGTCACCCAAGCAGTGTACACTGTACCCAATATTCTCTTATCCCTTACCCCCTCCAAACCTCCCCCACTGAGCCCCCAAAGTCCATTAATCACTCTTATGCCTTTGTGTCCTTATAGCTAAGTTCCCACTTATAAATGAAAACATACAATATTTGGTTTTCCATTTCTGAGTTACTTCACTTAGAATAATGACCTCCAGTTCCATCCAAGTTGCTGCAAAAGACATTATTTTGTTCCTTTTTATGGCTGAGTAGTATTCCATGGCGTATATATACCATATTTTTATTATCAACTCTTTGGTCAATGGGCACTTAGGTTCCATATTCTTGCATTTGCAAATGGTGCTGCTATAAACATGCATGTACATGTGTCTTTTTAAATATGACTTCTTTTCCTTTGGGCAGATACTCAGTAGTTGGATTACTGGATTGAATGGTAGTTCTACTTTTAGTTCTTTAAGGCATCTCCATACTACTTTCTATAGTGGTGGTACTAATTTACATTCCCACAAGCAATGTAAAGATGTTCCCTTTGCACCACATCCATGCCAACGTCTATTGTTTTTTGATTTTTTAACTATGGCCATTCCTGCAGGAGTAAGCTGGTATCTCCTTGAGGTTTAATTTGCATTTGCCTGATGATTAGTGACAAGCATCACAATTTCTTAGTCTTCCCCTTTTTCCTCACCAGTTGCTCCCTTCTAGTCTCCTTTGCTGATTTGTTCTCTTTTCCTTGACCTACTAACAGTGCAGTACCCAGGTACTTCTTCTCTGCACTGCATTTTTGCTTCTCTTCTTGCTGTCTTCTCTGCACTGCATTCCTTAGTGATCTCTTTCAATCTTGTGCCATCTAATGGCTGAAAATGCCTCTGTTATGTGGACCACTCACAGATTTATATCTTTAGCTGAGACCTCTCTCCAGAATTCAAGACTTTTATGTACAACTGCCTACTTGACATCTCCACTTGGGTGTTAAATAGGCTTGTAAAACTTAGCAACTGGACTCCTTGTATTTCCCCTGAGTGCTGCTCCACCCAAAGCCTTCCTCATTCAGTTTATGGCAACATCTTTCCAATAGTTTCGATTAAAAGTCTTGGATTATTCTTGGTTCCTTTATTATTCCCTCAAAACCTACATTCAATCATTTGGTAAATCCTATAGCTCTACTTTCAAAATATTTCTAGATTCTGACCTTTTTTCTTTACCTTGACTTCTATCACACTAGTCTGGACCAACTCTATTTCTCACCTAAATAACAACAATATCCTCTGTATTCATTTCCTGGGGACGCCATAACAAAGTACTGCAACCTGGGGGACTTTTAGCAACAGATTTTTTTTTGTTTTTTCTTTCACAGTT